TCGCAACTGCCGTTTAAGATTATTTTACTCCTACACATATTTGGTTAAGCGATTGTTGTTATGTACGATGAAAGTTACCGGTTATTAATGATGTTAATATTAATACTAAATGTTATTTAAATGTTAATATTAATGTTGATGTTATTATAAATACTAGGTGTTAATATTGATGGTATCATCAGTAATAATATGAAGTTACAATTAAAATTACAAACCGTATTCTTGAATTACAGAACTCATTCCGTTGAGTACACAATGTTCATCGATAGTGAAAATGACATTACACTCGAAATGTCAACGTTCCTCATTAATAACGTCAATATCTTTCTTCCAGGGAAAACAGAGATTCTGTAAACAACGTTTCTGCTTCGTGTTCATATTTGATTCACTAAAAACTTTCGAGTAAGATAAAAAATTCATTTAATCTGCCTGTCGCTCGCAGCAAGCGGTTCTGGAGACTCGGCGATAAATATTTTCCATAAAAAAATATTGACCCGCGTCGGCTGTATAATTTTACAACGACTTCCGGCGATTTATGGGCCGGCCGGCGAACACTTTACGTAGTCATCGGATCGAAGCCATTAAGTAAACGACTATGGTTATTTATCGCGCGGACTGTCGCGATCATTAAAGCGGAAATACGTATTACCGCGTCGACACATTATTCCGAGGTATATCGTTAACACCCTGGGATAGCTTCAACTAATAATTTCGCGGGTGATTTACAGGCGGCGCCATTAAAAATTGTAATGGCCGCGTTATATTGCTTATCGCCGGCGAAATTTAAAGATCGGTTCGATTGTTTTTCTACAATCGTTGCGATTTAGAACTTTCAAATGTGAAAAATGGCACCTTGATATCGGCGTCACTTTAATGATCACAGAAAATGGAAGATCATCGCTTTATATCAAAATTAACCTTTAAACCTTGTTTACTGGAATCTGTTTTAAATAATGGTTTGCTATATGAATTTTTATTAAAAATATGTGCGTTAACATATTGCGTACTGGTAACGAGAAATTTCGTTTTTATATAAATTAGTTATGCAACTTTGCTAATTAGAATATTTAGAAAAATATTAAATTCGATTCGAATTGATTATTCAAATATATTACATAATAATATGATATCTCGGTTTTCGTGTGTATAGTGATGTAAGTTGATGTTGCAGAAAGAATCCATCTGCACAATTTAGTTTTCTGAAAATTAGCCTTATGTGGTTCAATAGTACACTTTCAGGTATGTCTTCTTGTAGCTGTACATTGTTTTTATTTATTTATTAAAAACTGAGTGATATAGTCGTTTAAAATACTCTTTAATTCGCATTGCTTCGAAATTTCTTGAAAATATGGTAATACTTACGAACTAACCCGATACACATTCTGCACAGTTTAAGGAATCATAGAAAGCTTCGAAAGAGATACATCGATTCGCTAAAGGTTAACAAAAAATATCCTTTTTCTGTCGGGATTTGCATCGACGAATTGTAAGTAATCGTGACTCATTGGATCGAGTTGCAGCGATTTGAAAAAATAGTGTATTTGTTACACGAGCGCGTTCGTCGATCACAGTAAAGGGCAAATCACTAGACTGTCAATAAACACTATTTGTTTCCAGTTTTGTCCGAGAGCAGTTTCGTTCCCCTGAATTTTTGAAATGGACGAGAGAGAGAAAGCTTGTAGGTGGGAATTATTGTGTTCGACAATGGCAGGTCGTTACCTTCGCGAAATTAATACGAATGGATATCGGAAAATACAACGGGCGCAGAAATACATGGAAACCGGCTTCGAGGATTTCGCTGCGCGTCTGACCGTGCATTGTCTTGTTCTCCATCCACAATGGAACTATCAGGCGGATCAATGTGTATTTTTCCGATTTTATACACTGTTATTGTTCAGACAATAAACCCACCTTTACAAGACGCTTTCGAACGGACTGGTCTATTCGTGAAACACGGCGATGAATATCTTAATGAATGTACAACCGTCATTTCCGTGAGGAATTCAAAAACATTTTCACCGCTTGTCGCTTTCAGAATCCACCCTTAACACGTATTTTCGTGGATTTCCCTTAAGGAATAACGTTTTCTTTCCCTTTCACAGGCACACGTTTTTTTCAAGAACATTTCGCGTGCTCGTTTAAATGAGTTACCCGCCAGTTTTTTAATCTTTATGGGAAACACGAATGAAAGACTGTGAGCAAGTATAAAGTTGCACCACACAGCCGCATTATATTCAGCGAGTGAAAAAAATTACGCCACTGCAACTGGAGTATTTTACTCGAAAAAAGTTGTACCTCGGGATTCTTGGAAATAGAAGAGCCACGTAAAAGTGCATAAACAATCTTCTGAAGCAGAGTAATAAAAGAAACTTGCTGCAGTTTCAAAGGTGGAATTATTAAAGGATCAAAGAACAGTTTATTTAAGATGTATGAGTCCCGTCGCGCATCTAATTAAGTTATTAATTATGCTCAGATTCAAGTGATACCCGTAAGAAAACAAACGAAACCTTAAAAAAATGATTTTCGTGTTTTCAAATTGTTTATTTTAATATTTATGAAATATTCGTTTTAATATCAATTAACTTAATACTATATAGTTCAGTATTAGTATTAGTTAATCATATTAGTATTAATCAACTTAGTATTATTGTAGCTCTACTGTTAAATATCTCATTATTATAATATAAATTATAAATTCCAAATTCAATTACAAATTCCCATTTCGAGAAGAAAGTAAGCTTCATATTCCGTTGCTCATTGACATGTATACGTATGTGACATAGAAGGATAATTCCTCTGGAAATAATAAAAAATGTTTAGAAAGCTATATATATTACAGCTATATAATATAATATATAATACATATTAATAAATATATTATAATATAATATATATTGTAACTGTATATTGTAACTTTTAAAATTTTTTTATTATTTCCAGGAGAATCATGCTTCCGAGCCACTTACATATTACAATCTTTTCCAATTTTTCATTATTTCTAGAAGAATCGTGCTCCCGAGCCACTTATACATTATAGTCTTCCCTAATTTTTCATTATTTCCGGAAGGAGCATGCTCCCGATCCACTTATAGGTTGGCACTTTCAAAATATTTCATTATCTCCGGAGGAATCAGGTATTCGACGATCGAAATTCGCGTTTCGAAGAGAGAGTCAATAAACCAGCCCATTAAAAACTTCGTGCGCGTAGATGCGCCGGGCAGATAGACCGCGTGCAGCTCCCGCGGGAGCGGCCGCGACTCGCGCGGCCATTGTCCGACGCTTTCCAGCTGGCACGGTTCTCATCTTGATATATTTTCTCATTCTGTGTCATTGCGCGCGGCGGAAACGCTCACCGGAACCGCCCCGAAACGGTTCGTCGACGGCCAGGAACGGGGGCCGATAGCGTTCCACGTTCCCCGTCCAGCTCGAATATTTCACCCGGCGATGCTCCAGGATTTGAAACGTCTGGTTCGCGTAAACGGTCGTATTTCGGAGAAAAGTCGGCCAAAGGAAACAAAGGGGGGAGAGGCAAACTGAATAAAAAAACGGTTCGCCGTGCAGAAATTATTTTTGATAAAGCGGCGGAGGCAAAGTCACAAGGATATGATTTTTTAGGAATGATCGTTTGCGCTTGAACTGGTTTGCCAGTGAATAATCAATCGGTATTACCGTATTATTGTATCATTGTTATTGTCATTTATTTGATTAATATGATTTCGTATTACGATCCACTTCTTTCTGTATTTTACTTATTCGAGTGTGTTGAAAGAAAAGACGTTAGGCTATTATTTATAATTATATAATTTATAACTATATATATATAATTAGCTATATAATGGAAAATAGATTTAAGAAGATCGTGAATTATGAAGATGGAATTCACTAAATAGGTAAATTGTTATTTATATTGATTATTATTCATGGATAACTCGGTTGAAGTTATTACTATCATAATTGATAGTTATTTATTAGAATTATCATCACTGTTTGTAAGTAATTCGATCATAGTTATTATTGGTTCTATTTGGTGGTTGAAGTGCGCGCATATTCATCGAAAATTTCGCGTAACAGTGTGTAAATAGTTTGCGGTTCTTCGATGTGTACGGTTCCCATGATTGCTGATGGATCTGTTTATTGTTGCCTCACCTGGGAATTTCCGTTCCACTGACTGCGGCAATATTTTCGAGAGAATAGGTGTGTGTGTGTGCGCGTGTGTGCTGCGTGCGTGCATGCGTGCATGTGTGCGTGCGTGCGCGCGTGTGACAGTGCCTTTTAATTTTTTTGATGATCCTTCGGAACGGAAGTTACCGAGGCTTCTTGTAAGGAGGACGAGACCGAGTCGACCGAGTCTGGTTCAATTTGTTTTCGAATACGGTATCCGTACCACAGGGACGTTGGGAATATTTCTCTGGTCTGGCTGGGGAGTAACTTATTCCACTTGGGTTCGTACTTCGATTATTTGGCGGCCATTGGATTCCTCGAGCATTTTCTGTTGCGAGTTCCTTTCGGAGGGGCGAGTGGTCTTTCGATTGGAAAGGAATTGGTTTGATCGATCACTGGTTTATTCTACTGGCTTTGATATTATATTAACACGTTGACTGCCATGATGGTCACCGGTAACCGGAGCTTCCAAATTGCTTGAAAACGATTACAATAAGAAAATCAATATTGAATCAAAATATTTAGTAACATTAATAATTATTTCTAATACTATTTTCCTCTATTATAAAGGAATTAATTTTACTATAATAAAACGCTTGAAATTCTCGTGGCAGTCAACGTGTTAACGCTTTGCGAGAGGTGACTCTCAGTCCACTAGATTTGACGCAGCAAAATCATCGTCTAATTGACTTAACCCAGACCACGATTGACTTTTCCAATATGTCATTGTATTCGTCTTGAAATACTCTATCAGAATGTAAGTAAAAAAATATACCGTTCTATTTAAAAAAAACAGAGATGACCTTTATATCTCCTTGACGCCTCCACCTATAAAAAAACTAGTAACATCGAATGATCAGCCCCTGGATACCAAATAATTTTGGTCTGATGCATTTTTTCCTATCACCAGTAGCAGCCCAGTTATTCAGGTGGCCGGTTTTAGGTGCCTCACCCTGTATAATATGCTCTGTATCGATACATGAAATATTGAAATCAAATAGCGTTGTTTCTTAATTAGCTCTGTTTCCGATTTGTTAGTTTCAAAGAATTTCGTTTATATCTCACTGAAAAATGTTGCATATTAATTGTTACGATCGACGGGTCGACGCTTGTTCGCGACTCGAATGTTTTCGCGATTTTACGTTGACCGCACGCGTGGTGCCCGCCAAATTAATCTTGGGCACCTGGATCCGTCGGTGGAGCAGTGGTCGCGTCTTCGCGTTACGTTTGTGTTCGAGTCGAGATTTTTCTAAACAAGTCTTCGAATCCGGAACGATGATTCGAGTGTGATTTCGAGTATTTGTCGCGAGAGTTATGAACGAGTCTTTCGAGCGTGTATGTTGTTGCAAGTGCCTTGTTACGATGTGTTTTGCGATGTTCTTTTTCGAATGTAATGTGCGACTTTTCTTTTTCGAATGTGGTATGCGACTGTTCTTTTCCGAATGTGATGAGCGACTGTTCTTTGTCCGAGCTGTTGCACCCACAAGTAAACTTTTTACCCCCCCTTCGTATGTTTGAAAGGGAATGCTGACAGAGTGGAAACAAGAGAACGACCAAGTTTTGGAAAAAAATGGATTTGGCAACAGCGGAAAAATCCCGTTAGTTGACGAACGTGCAAGGGTGTACTCCGATGCGAGTACGCACCCTTGTCCGCAGGTAGTCCTCGCTGTTGCGCGTACGTTCGGTGAAACTGCGAAGGAAAACCCATTATGTGGGCCCATGTGTACGTGCCTACCTAAGTACGGGCACGCACCCATGGCGGCGGGTAATCCTCGCCGCTGCGCGAGAATTCATCTGATTCATGACATGGGCGAATTTTTGTACGGAACAGAAAATGCAAGGCTGACCTGCACAAAGGCCGAGGCCGGGCCCCGGATTAACTGTTCCGAATACTCGACCGTGTTTTCGTCCGTGTCATAAACCAGACCCGTGTATCGAGGTGCCGCGGATCTCGGTGCTTGAAAGGGCTTCTTTTTCCGCGATGGAACATTAATTGCTTCTAGGAAAGAACTCCCGAGAATATTTTCCTCAGAAAATATTCATTATTTCCTGATAAGAATCAAAGATAGTTTTTGTAACTAACATAAGGACATATCTTAAATAAAGTAAGAGCAGAATGATCTAATTTCGATGTTCCGTGTATTCATACATTATATAAAGTTGAATATTGAATTTAAAACTTTATAATTCTTGAATTATTGGAATTAAACAAAATATTTTGTTTCTGCTCGACTATAATCTGGATTGTTCCAGTAATTCCATTGTTCATTGTTATTTCTTTACGATTGCAGTATTTCAGTAGTCGAATTGACATACATCTCGATATTTCCGACTCACCTATCACCGTTAAATTGACTTTGGAGTTGCGCGTCTGGCCAATCTGGAAATCGACGCGACACCTGTAGATCCCGGCATCCTCCTCCCTTATGGGGTTGACGCCGAGCTCGGCCGGATTTTTGTCCAGCATGAAATAAGCTCGGTTCGAGAACACCGACTCGTCCGACCATCTCTGCGCGATGCCGAAGTCTCGATCCCTTGCATCGACACTGGAACAAATTCGACGGACAGATTGAAAATAGCAGCGAATTGATACAGAATAATGGTACAATCCCAATCCATCGAAATCTTCCAATTCCACTACTTTCCATTCAATCTTAACATTTTCTATACCGTCAATACCCCTGTACTTAAAATTGAAAACTTATCGAAATTGCGTCTTATATTCCCCAGAGAAAATCTTCACAAATCTCCAGCGAGAATGTTCAGTTTTTCCCAATATTCCAATACTCCAATTTCGAAAATGCTTCTATTCTTCCGTTCTCCTATTATCCCATCTCGCTGTATTCAAAATCCCGAATTGCCCACTTTCCAAATTCCCCTATCCTCCTATTTCCCGGCGGAGCACGCTTGCTGCTGGGCGATAAAAAAATATTTAAATTCGTAATACGCGACGCGAAATAAAATACAGAATTACATGCTCCGTATTTTTGTCGCGCACGAAACACAACAGCGCCGCGCGGGAACGGTTAAAAAGCGTCGTTGCGCTGGTGAATCATCGAGCGTGTCGGGAATAAATTTCCGCGCGGATGGAAGTCAACCTCCCTGACGGAACCGGCCACTAATCTTGCGCCGCGTCGACGGCTTGTTTGCGGCCCTGTCCCGGCCCAATATAGAGGAACGCAGCCGGGGCGCAGATTGCGCGGACACCGGTGCAGATTGATTTGTATCTCACCTGTAAATCGATGTACCGAGATCATCGCGATACCAGAGCACAAGATGCACCGAGTCCCCCTCGTAGGTGGTTGATATGTCGCAGGGAAGATACGTGGGATCGCCGACCAGCGCCACGATGTGCGATATAGGGACTGGAAGCAGAGTAACACATGGAGACGTGAGATTAGCCCGCCTGGATCACGTCGCGCCATTACATCGCGCCGAGTCTGGCTTAATCTCTTATTGATGTCGCCGTGAACACTATACTCCTACGCCGTAACGTGGCGATCTCGTTTGCTCTCGTGTTTTCCTTTATTTATTTAGCTACGGCGGGGTGGAGAGTATTCATGGCGACTGTCGCTCTTCATTACAGTTTCTTTGCTAGGATAGAAATTGGATAACATGGGTGAGAATGATTTGGATTTGAAATGTGGCATTTGCAAAGTTTCTAACTGTAGTGCGCAGTGATCCTGCTCAATTCATTTGTTTCGTTTGTTTATTTGGTTACGGTGGGGTGGAGAGTATTCACGGCGAGTGTGTCTAGATTTTGGATTACGGAATATGTAAACTAGGAGAAAAATTTGTAGGATAGAATATGTTGTTGTAATTAAGGGATTGTTTGGAAAGTTTTGTTTGGAAAGTGGTGCTAATCAATCTCCTCATCCTCTGTACTGATTGTAAATTACTGAAATTATCCCACAACGAAACAACTGCACTTTTCCAGTTTCTGTTACTATTCGATGTCACAAAATCACATCTAATGTCCATAAAACAGAATCACTCTCATCCTTCAACACCCTTTAATAAACACTACTCCTATAGCACATTTTATTTCATTCTTTCAAAATATACATTCAGCCGCATATACTTCAAAATGACAGCTTCAAAAACATAAAACTACAACACACATCTAACAGCAACAATCAAAACCAACACGCAAACCTCCATAAAGTGTCGATAAAATCCTCAACAATCGTAAAACAATCATATTATCTATCATCACCTAAATTTAACGGTAAACCCCATATGCGTGCCACGAATGGTTGCGAACGTCGTGCGTGGCACTTAATCAGAAAATTGTTTCGTAGCGCAGCGACGCCGTAGTCTGAACGCGTTCGGAACCATTCACGTAACGAACAACACGCGAACGTCCATTCGGCCTAGCGACGGCCAACAATAAGCTTTTGTTCCCACCCCTGCTCCGTTCGTCCTTACGTCGCTCGGGCGCACAATATCCATTTATTCCGAAGATAATAACGGACGAACAGAAGAAGGATGTTTTCGGCGTTGCGGATGCAACGAGTATTGTCCGCAGCGATTCACCAGCTGCCCCCTCCCCCCGCCGCCGCCTCATACCCCAGTTCATCCCCGTTTTCCGTTCGTTTCGTTCGCTCGACTTTAACCCTGGAACGCTTGCATCTGGGTCACCAGAGGACAACTCTCGGTGCACGGTTTTCTGGCGGCGAAACAAAACCCGGACGAGACCCTCCCCTCGCACCCCTCGCCCCTTTCATTCGAGAGCAGCTAAATAGACGCGATCCCGTCTCGAAAGTAATCAGAATCATATTCTTTGGATGCTTCGGGGTTCTCTTGTGCTTCGAGATTCTCGGAGAGTTGAGAAGAGTTGAGGAGAGATATTGGACGGATTTCTTTGGTTTTCAAGGATGTTTCAGTTGGTTCGTAAAAGTTTGTTGAAGGTAGATTGTAATAGAACGTTGATCGTAAGTTTCGACAGGAGTTGAGAAGAGTTCTTGGTTGGATTTCATTGATTTTGAAGGACGTTTCAGTTGGTTCATGAAAGTTTGTCGGATGTTGATGGTAACGGACTGCCGATTGTAAGTTTGTGGGCAAATGGGATTTGGTATTGTAAAATTTATTGAACCTTCCGGGTTAGTGTGAAATTGAGGCGTTTAATGAGTGAAGGTTTCGGCAAATATTTTTATTAATCTACAGATATGCAACAAAGTTACTTTTATAGTTGAAATCTAAGGCCTTTTGTTATTTCATTGCGAACGTTGATCCTTCAAACTAAAATTTGTGAATGAATTTAATTATTCAAACGACGGCAGACTGATATGTAATTTTCATCCTATCTAATATTCAAACGTTCAATGCCTAATTCAACTTTTTCTAATAAAGGTCTTCAGGAATTTAAAAAAACTCTCATCCACAATTAAATCTCTACTCTATACCGAGCCAAAATTAGACGCTAATGTTAGACTCACATAAAATCAAACACTCATATTACACCTACTTTATCTTCTTCCTACAATCTTACGAATCCTGCAGATTTCAAATTAGATCTAGTTTAATACTCCACGTAAGTACAATACTTTTTCTTCCGCCGTTTAACATTCCCAAAGGATCCAATTCATCCGAGCAAACACTTCAGCCCCGAGTAGTTCCCACGAGCAGTTAATCACTGTTCTCCGGATCTAACCCAGGTCCGATAAAATCGCACAAACAGTCCCGGCGGCTACTCTCTTCCCGCTGATATTATCGATTCCAGGCCGACGTGCTTCTCACACGCCGCGCGACAGCCGTTTATGCGCGTTTCCCGCGACGTGACAAACAGTGTGACATCGGTGTAATGCACGGACACCGTTGATACGTCGCTGGAACGTCACGGTCGGATTTTCGTAACAAGCGAGCCGTTCGAAGGACTGGAAGTCTTGGACCAAGGAGGAACTACTAGTGAGATTTCCTATGAATTAATAATTATTTTCAATATCATTTGCCTTTGTTATTAAAGAATAAGTATTACTACTGAAAACGCAAGGAATTCTCGTGACAGTCAACGGGTTAATATGCTGTCTAAAGGATCTATGCGATCCTCTCAATTATAATATTCTATTCAATTCAATAAATCTTCTAAACAAACTGAAACAAATGAAGCTGAAACGAGTCATTCAATCCCTAAATGTAATTTCGTAGCTTATAACTTTAACTAACTATATCTATAGGATTAATTTCATTTTCTTTATATAAAATATAGGTTTGTGACCGTCAGAAATATGTGCACTAGTAGCGAAAGTGTTTATTTGTCTACATATTTTTAAAGGTGGTCGTGTTCAACATATCGATCGAAAAATTTTCAATAGTTTGTCCACTGACATTTCGGTGCCTAATCCCCCAAACGCTCCGACATTGTCATAATTGTAGTATTATGGCTGTTAGAGTTAGTGTTACGCGCCCAACAATGACATACGGGCACTCATTGCCGCGGTAGTCAAAGAAACAAAGGAAAAGCGACACTAAACTGAGCGGCCAATCGATATGCGTGTCGCGTTGATTGGTCGCTTGGTAGATGCTCAATTTTACTATAAATATTCCGCCTTTTTTCTTCCTTGGGGCAGTTGACAACGACAACGACATCGGTTCGCGTGAGCAACAACTTATCCCAGTATCAACAATCGTAGAAACAACAATCGCAGAAACAACAATCGTAGAAACAACAACGTTGAAAAATCAACCAAAAATCATATTTGTGTTGGCGAATGTATTTACAAGGGTAGATTACCCAGTACACATATTATCGACCAGAGTTTAGCTTCCTTTACACAAGCACACATACACACGCGTTCCCAAGCTCACACAAATTCTGTGCAACCAGAACTTAATTAATAAATAGTGTCCACGTCACGTGTCCTGCAATTATTACGGTCTCAAAGCCGTTTGTAATCTTTGGGTGGTCCTTCGTAACAGCATCATAGACGGCACCTAGCGCCAATAATCAGGGCTCGACCACACCCTAACAATGGCTGTATCGTAGTTTTTAAGGCAGTGGGACAGCGAGTATTCTGAGAGACAGGAAGAGGAGCATAAAAGAGAAAGGGTCTGATGGAGACCAGGCCCAAGGGTTGGCGAGTTTTCCCAAGTGATGCGTAAGTGAGGATGATGAGTGCACGGTGGTGAGAGTAGGGTTTGGTTGAGAATTTGTTGGAAGTGTGAGTGAGAAGAATGCTTGTGGGAACAGAATGATTTTTAAGCGATGGCGAGAGTTTTTGGAAAGAGTTGCGTTGACTTTGGAAGAGTAAAGACTTGTACACTGCGAGCTATATCATTTCTATTTATTTGTATCTTATTCGATTAACTATTCCTATGTTTTTTTTTAAATAAAACATAATTATTTTCCATTAACATCACACTAGTTTCTCTGTGCTCGACGCTTTTTCGAGCTCTTTTGTAAAGCTCTTTACGGAATTTCGCGCGATGAGAACCACTGTTCTAGTGGGATGATTAATTCTGAACGATTAACACGTTCGCTATCAGCGCTTATTTCGACGGTCTCTTCAATTATAATATTTTTTTCAATCCAATAAATGTAAACAAAATATTAGAAAAATTAAACTGAAACGAGTCATTGAGTTCCTAAATATAATGTAGTTTATAGTTTCTAATAACAATATCTATAGGATTAATTTCATTTTCATTGTATAAAATATAGGACTACGGTCGTCACAAATATGTGAACAGGTAGTAAACGTGTTTAGGACGTTTAAATTTGAGCAACTATTATTTATCGAGGTTATTTGCTTGTTAATTTTGTAATAAAATCTAATTGAACGGTACAATGCAATGGGGAAAAGAGAAATGAAGGAAGAAACGGTGTCACAGGTGTTGTTTAGTAACATGGACGGAAAACAGGAGAAACTTGAAACCTTACGGGACTTCGCGGTCGGTAGTCTGAAATGTTGACTGTGTAGAAACAACAGACGTTTTTATATGCCCTCTACGATTAAAATTGACGAGTTTAAGAATTATATTCGGATTGATGATTGAAGTTGGCAAAATCGACGAACGTGAAGATCGACAGACACACCGAATCTCACAGTAGAATTATTGATTGAGGGCTATTAAGTAGTAGATTGCGTGCATGGACTGATGATAATAGTAATTTCGAGTTCAGAACCGTAAGTACGGTTTCACGATGTGCAGTTATTTTATGAGTTTCAAGTATCACTTAGGTTATTGTCGGTTTCAACGTTTCTGTATTCTTCTTTGGAGAATAAAATACTCATACAGACCAGTTCTTTCTATAATAGTATAATAACCGCTTTCTGGTTATCTTAAAGTAGATTTGAAGCATTATGGAACTCTAACTGAGATTATATTCCATTTTACCCTGAGTTTCAATTAAACCATACAATTT